TCCGCCTCAGCCTTCCGAGTAGCCGGAATTACAGGTGCGCGCTACCACGCCCGGCTGATTTTTTGATTTCTTGTAGAGATGAGGTCTCGCTGCCCAGGCGGGTCTCGAACCCGCGGGCTCAGGCCATCCACTCACCTCAGCCTCCCAAAGGTGCGGGATGACAGGCTGAGCCACTGAGCCCAGCTCTGATTCACTTTAAGTGGTAGGAGTCAAGGCTGTAACAACGAAGCACAAGCTCCATGGCAAGATGGCTTTCTTTTGGTTTTATTCGTGATGCTGTATACAAAGCACTCCTTACACATACGCACTTGAAAGTTCATCAACTCACTTGATTCAAAGTTCTCAGAATCCAACATACTCCTGAGAAAACCAAGCGTTAGAGAGTGGAAATGAGTTGCCCACAAACCACATAAGTCATACCTCTGAGCCACGGCAAAGTCCTTCCACCAGGAAGACCTTCACAACTTCCCCTATACTATACATCTGACTTCCCCACCTGATTCTCAAGAACCAATGGGAAGGCAGTGAGGACATCTGTAACGTCAAGTCCTCTGCAGCCACAAGTCCAGGCCCTCTCACAAACCCCTGGCTGTGACTGTCTAGCTGTGTTCCCTTCCAAAGCACCCCAGGACTGTGGGTATGGGTCCTCCTGAGGTATAAGGTGAACTGTTGCCTGTTAAACGTCTTCTAAGTTTTCAAGAAAAATACCTAAATGTTTTCCTTCAGCTGACAAATTCCAGGTGAAAATAGAAACAGGCACGTGGTGGGAAGGGATCCCCTACCCAAGAGGACTCACCCTCTGCACGTGGGTAGCCCAAGGGCCAGTCTTGGTTTATATAAAAGCATACAGCTGGCTACACATTTCCTAGGGATAAGGTAGGGATTAAAAAGTCTTAACATCATTCAAAGATTCAGTGTGGTATGGTGGGGCAGGTCCCCCCTGGACTCTCACCGACAGCCCTCTCTAAACAATCCCTGACCCTCGGATGGCTAAGAAGCTATTTTGCGGAAAACCACAATGGCACACACCGTTTCCTGTCTCATGTAGTAGGTCCAGGCACGGCACTGCAAGCATTTGATTCCTGTGCGTTAAATTCATAAAGTCCTCAAGTCACTCTGTTGCACATTTGCATGTCCTTAGCAAAGTAAAACTGGGAACTGGAAGGAGAAAAAAGCTAGAAAACAACTTAGAAAACAAAGTAGAAAATCGCCTTTCATCTGAGTCTACAGCTTTATTACTTAGGGATTAGTGTCACTTCCTTTAGAACTGGGGGACAGGGTTATGGGGGAAGAACCCCAACTCTAGAAGGGCAGAGGGGGAGTCCCTGAGAAGTCTCCGCACCAGCAAAGGGACTGCTGGATCAGAAAGTCCTACCATACTCGTCCTGCTGTCTTCTTATACCCCAGGTCACAATCAACAACAGAATGGGAAACAAATTCCTGATCTCCAATCTTGCCTCATTTAAGTTCATTGAATTGAGTGAATAAGTGCCACAGACACATTCTTCACAAAGCTATCGCCATCTTCCCTGGCTGGAATAAGTGGCATCTGGGGTTCTCTGAGCTGACCGTATAATAACTTGTGTACGTGTTTTCTTCTCTCCCCATCCAGGCTAGAAACTTGCTGAGAGCAGAGACCATGGCTTTGTGTGTTTTACCACATACAGTCTTCAGAAATATGTTTTTTTTAAAGTGGATAACAAAAAAGAGCACTTTGGTTCCTGTATTCTCTTCTAGTCTCAACTGATATGTGTGTATATTTTCACCATTCACAAATACATCTATCCCTGTTCCCCATATATATTAATTACCTCCATTTATTAAACAAATACAACCTTAAAAGAAACATGTCACCAGTAGACAACACTCTTCTCTATATTTGGCTCTTTTTTGGTATGTTTTTTATGTTCCTAATAATAAAATATTATAATTATTTAGGTTTAAGCAATTGAATTTCAATGTGCAATCTATTATTTTGTGTTTTAAACAAATGCTGTGTGATAGGCTATGCTGCAGTACCCAGATATTTAGTCAAACACCAGTCTAGATGTTGCTGGGAAGGTGTTTTTAGATAAGATTAACATTTAAATCAGCAGACTTTGAGAAAAGCAAATTACCCTTCATAATGTGAATGGGCCTCATCCAATCAGTTGAAGGCCTTACGCGAAAACAGGCTGAGATCTCCAAGGGAAGAGAGAATTCTGATAGCGACTACCTTCCGACTGAAGCTGCAACATTACTACTTCCTTGGATCTCCAGGATGACCTGCAGATTTCAGACTCGCCAGCCCCCACAATCTCATAAGCCAGTTCCTTAAAATAGGTCTCTGTCTCTCTGTCTCTCTCTCTCTCTCTCTCTCTCTCTCTCTCTCTCTCTCTCTCTCTCTCCATACACACACACACACACACAATTTTATAGAGAATGCTGTTTTAAGTAAAGTACGTTGGAATCGCAAAGTTAAAATCTTATAGCTTGTTACATCTATATCTAATATATGATATTAGACACAAAGCCAGCAATTTGAGCTGAATGAATTTTTAACTGTAAAATGAGTACTGATTTAAATTATTTAGAATTTTATAACTTAAATATGGTGAGATATCGTTTTTAGACCCAATTGTCTCTTTAAAAGATATATTCTTAAACTGTAGAACTCAGAAAAGAGTAGGGTAGTTAAAGTTTTGATAACAAATAGCACCAAAGGCCCTTATTCTAAAATTTTCTATTCCAAAAAAAAAGACACCTTCATGGATGTGCTCCCACAATAATACAAAAGAAACCAGTGTACTTTCACTGAAGTCAAGTGAAAAATAATTGTTATGACTTGACTGTGTTAAATTGCGAAACTAAGGAATAAAAAGAAGGGAAACAAAGTAATGGACTGAAACATAGGATATGAAGTTGAATTCAGACAAAAAAATCTACTACGTTACTTGTTACTGCCCTGATTCTGTTTTAAATCAGAAAACATAACAGTCAATAAACAAAAGCACCGTCAATGTGAGGTTTCACCAGATGCATCTTTAAAATCTACATACTGCTTCTGTACCACAGTGAAATGTGTACTCTAATGTTTTCATTAAGGTCAATTTCTTAAGATACTGTCTAGCAATTGGCAAACCATATCCCATCATCACTATATTACTAGTTTATGACAGTTAGCATTTTGTTTCAAAATGCTTTCTCATAAATATGCTAGTTTTATGCCACCTCTTTGAAAAATAAACAAGTTGGTATTTCTACGATGTACGGTATACTCTTCAAAAGGCATTTCAGTCTCAAAACCCTCTCAAATAACAGAAACCTAATAAAAATGCTAGCTTTCTACAGAAGTCAGCATGCATCCAGTCAGTTATTTATTAAAATAATAATGTAGAAATCTTGCCTAGGAACAATACTGCATAAAAATTAATAAGGTGTTAAAAATGACCACATTATTGGAAGGGCTGAACTTTGACTTATGTATCATGTTTCAGCTGTTTTAGGAAGAAAGGGAATTATCGTTGTAGCATATTTTGACACATCAGATGTCATTACAGAACAGCTGGGAGCTTGCAGATGGAACATACAGACAGCAAGAGCCTGGGCAATTACTGAGAGGCAAAGAGACTCGGCTGGGAAAAGAGCTGGATGTCGGCAAGGTACAACAAATCATTATCCCTGCTAACCCAGCTCCGAAGTATTCATATTCGAAGTACAATATTAGCACCTCATGGGACTTCACACAAATGTTTGGGGGGGGTGGGAAACAGTCTCTGGCTAGGGTACGTTCTTTTCAATACAAATGCAGTATCTAGTTTTAACCCATTAAACGCCTCGTAGAAGATTATGGCCACAGGCACAGTCTATACAAATCAAAACTCAATTTTGCACAGATGACGCATATGCTGATCAACCAGAACACTGATATGATTCTCTCAGAAGTGTTCATTCCCGCCATTCAGACAGGGTACAGACGTGGCCATGCCAGCCCAAAGAGATGCATGACAGAGGCCATCTACTCACATGGCCTTGGTCATCCAGTTCATTGTTGGTGAGCTTCAGCTTGTCGAAGCTGATCACTTGTCTCATCCAAGTCTCCCCCGAGGCAGGTGAGTCTGGATGAATGTACACCCGAGGTGGCACGGGGGAGTCAGCATTGCCCGCCACCATCCATTTCGAGCTGTGGTACACGTACCTAGAAGGCAATGACGGAACTCTCAGTCTGTTTTCTCTTTGTTTTTTGGAATTTCCAACTCAGTAAAATCAGAAACCTATCTGTACCCCCCTTTTTTTTTCTAGGTCTAAAATAAGTCGATTTCTTCTTTACACCCCAAATAAGACTTCAACTACTTTTCGAAAACTTTCTGAGGCAGTGGTGGTCTACTGACAACTCAGAGTAAGTGATGGATTGAGTTCTTAGTGAGCAATATGCACACTTTCACCACCATAAACGCAAGTGTCTTAATTCTTATGAATCACACTTATTCACAGTAGACCTTCCACTTGCATTCTGATATTTTCATTTCTCACCTGCATATTCAATTGACATGAAGAAGGTATTGGCAAGCTCACTTGTAAATAAATCGCACAAACACTTGAGACATACATTCAAGTGTTCCACTTCCTTCAAGATCACTTCTTATTTTAGGCTATGTACAAGCTGATTGGGATAGACAATATGCAGCAAGAGGAAACTGTCAAGTTCTAGAACTTTTATTTCAATAGGAAAAAAGTCTTATCATTTGCAATTATTTTTCTCTAATGCTATGGCACTATACACCGAGAACAAAGTGATAATCAGTTTAATTTTTAAATGTTGCATTATCATAAAAGTTAGACCTTTATCACCTCTTATATTTCCTTCTGGATCCTTGTAAGAAAATTCTTTCAAATAGTTTTCAAATATTGCCAATCAAAAAATAAACCAAACTTTGAAAATGGCAGCATATTCATTAGCATTACTTTTCTAATTAAGAGACAAAATATTCTATGGTCTGTTTACAGATGAAATATATTGATTCTGTTAGAATACATTTAGATAACAATATTTCAAGTAAGAAATATGATCTTAAGACTTAATCCTATGTTCAGATCACCACTTATTAGTGTTCATTTAAAATAAACTAAAAAACTAGAAACTACTGTATCAATGAAGAACATAAAATAAAATCATATACCTAGACATTTTCCTTTCATATGTGTGTTAAAATATACCATAACATTTAAAGAAATAATTTGCAAATAGTTTCAGAAAATTCTGCTTGTGTTGGGTACACAATTCTTTTTAAAAGACCATGAAATATTTCTATAACATTTCTGGTGAGGCCTTTTGTTTCAACTATGGTCACATAGTTGACCATAGTTGATTTCATTTTGAGCTCCATATGTTTCCTAATCTTTCATTCCTTTTCTTGGGGAAAAAAATACAGTCATAAAATTAAGAATAATTTTTTTTTACAACCTTCCTTTAATAGATACGGTGTAATTTTCAATAAATACATTGCTAACTGGGTTTTTGTGAGTATTAATTTTACATTCTAATAAATGACAATCATTTTTAACTGGACCAAATACCACTCAGGCATCAGAGAAAAAGTCAAAAGAATTTTTTTTTCCTAACTAGTGAAAAAGTTAGAAAATAAAATGGAAATCTTAGAAACGCATGAAATAAACTGCCTGTGGAAATGAATTAGGTTACTACCAAAATAAATGGAGGAATATGTTCTAACAAAACCTTGAAAAAGTATGCATATTGAATAGCTCAAAACTCCACACCCACTGAGAGAATAAATGCTACATGTCACACAGTCTTTGCAAAACATTCTAAACACAAATGCTAAAAACATCTTTCTTCTTGGGAAGCAATATAAGTGAAAGCAAATATATTTTACAATTTGATCTTTTAAAATCTGGCATTTTCATAAAATTTGTGAAATTTCCTTGCTTTCTGTGAGAGTAAATTAGAATCAGTTAAATAAAAAAAACTGCCCAAAACATAGGAAAGAGGTCTGGAGAAAGAAACGAGAGACAAACTTACAAGAGAAAGAAATAATTTCTAAGCTCATTAAGAACTATATCATCCTTCTTAGAACAAAACCCAATTTAGAATACGGATTTTAAGCCAAATATTTTTAAAGAGTGAACTTCAATGCCTTCCAGCTCTGTCATACAGTAAATAATTTTAGCAAAACTCCCTAATGACCTATTTAATTAAAATAAGTAACACAACTTACACACAAAACAAATAATAAGATTGTCCTTTTCGTGACCCATTTTTGTAGTATTAAATACTCCCATCTACTAATTAAAATCCGTGTACTGTTGACACCATAAGATTGCTTCAAAAAAGCAACTTCCTAACTTTTTTAAAGTGATAAAAGCTAAATCTTATTTCATTTAAAAACTTACTACAAAATGCTGTTCCTAAAAATAAGAAAGAAATAAAGATGATCAAAATTTAAAACGGCATCTTCTGATCTTCTAAACACTCAAAATTTCTTTTTTTAAATGTTAGCATTTTTAACTCTTCAGAAAAATTTAAAAATTGTCATTTAATATTGCTAATTTATTTTCTTACAGAAAAAAAGAGCAAAAGTTGGTTTGAAACTGAAGACTATGTCTCTCCAAAGTTTATGGGAGGTCTAAATAAATAAATTCTCTTTCAAAATCCAAATATCATAAAGGTTTTCTCAAAATTATTGTGTTAACTACTAGCAAAAAATAAAATATATAAATGTATTACCAACTTAGAGATGTCTTAATAACATAACAAATAACAAGATTTTTTTTTACTTGTAAAAACCTTAAATAATTTTGTCAAATAAAACAAAAAAGCCTACAAACATCTATGGTTTTGAACATAAGATAAATGGAATTTACATGACAATCAAACGGAGCTGAAAGAAAATACATTTCATTCACTATAATTTACATTTGAAACTTTACATAACATCTCCTCTCAAAATCTGAATTGAAACGTAAGACAATAGGGAAGACACATTTATTTCGGCAACACCCAACTAGCCCCTTTTACAAGTCCTCACAATACTTAAAAGCAGTTCTGTATCTACGAAAAACAAAACAAAAATAAAGCTTCCACATTTGCTGCAAGAAAAGGTACCATCTGGGCTGCTGGAACCCATGGATATGGATCTGGAAATTCTACAGGTCACACAGGCACTAGCCTGCAAAATCCTAGGGTTTTCTTATGGTCTCATATCTCATCACTGTACCTGTATCTTTTGTTATCCACTGGCACAATATCCATGGCAATGTAATACTGTTGGTGAGGATCTAATCCAGAGATCTTCACTCTCATTGCTGGAAACATGCGCCTGTTTATAAGGGAAGAAAGAAAGAGTGTTTTGGTTTTTTGTGTGTGTGATTAAAGATGGAGAGTGAATCTGCAAAGAAACCTCTTGAATCTCTGTTTCTTAATATGGACAAATCCATAGCATCCACTTTGGTAATGTAATTCAAAGAGTCAGAAGAACAGGACATTATCAAACTGAGATTTTTAAATGTAATTTCTTGCACCCTATGTACATGTGTTCTGTGTTTACAGAAATGTCAGTATAGCAAAAAAGAATTGTACACTGAAGGAGTAACGACAGGAAAGGAAGCGCTTTATTTTTTAAACAAAACCAATAAGCAAGTTTACTCTGGTGATACAAATAATAAAATGCACCCAAATGGTAGAGATAAAAATTTGAATTTCTGAAAGTGATAAAATACATATTATGAGGTGAAATTTTAAAAGGGTTATAAAAAACCACAAGGAGCCAATGTGCCACGCTACAGCCAAACAATATGTTCTTTATTGAGACAGGACTTCCTGTCTGCAGCATGGTAAAGGTGAAGTGCAAAAGTTGCTCTCAATTTGAAAGGTAGAGGAAAACTTCTTTATTGAAAGCAGAAACTAAACACAATGTATATTTACCAAATCATTTCTTCCCCGCCATACGTGGAAAACGTTTCCCTATTTAAACATGCTTACTCAAAACTTTGCTAATTAAAACAAATGAAAATCTGCGTTCATCTGGGCTTTCCAAAGATGTGTTATCAAAGGAGATGGCAAAGTCAATGAACCAATCCTTTAAAAAGGGCACAGCAGCAGAAAATACAACATTAAATTGTTGTTCGATTTTTTAAAAAAATACAGCAGTTTCTTTTTTAAAAAAATTCACCTAATGATTTATGCCTAGGTCCCTTCCAGTTAATCTAATTTCTGCTAACTTAACCTTATAATTCAAATTTTAGTAGTTATTTACTAACTTTCTTCTATAACCACAATACCACTAAAGACCACTTCAGAAAAATAAAGTCCATTACACCTAACTAGGCATGAGAACAGTTTAATATGCTAGCTGCTGTAGTGTTGTTTCAGTGCACCTGTAAGATAAAGAGTAAAGGTCTTTAACTACATCCTTTAAAAGACAACTGTTGCTTTGTGTTGTTGAAGACTGAATTTGGATCATTAATAAAAGCTCTGTGAAAAGGTAGACGGTAGCATATGGATTCAATAAAATATGTTTTTGTAATTTCTAATAAGTTTGGATACTTTTATGCTCTCCAGGTTTTTACCAGGTGTATTCCCTGGAAGAGTTGTGTGTTGCTTTTTAGCGTTTCTTTGAAGGAAGCATACTATTCATAGGTTTCATCGCATTACATGAACTGAAAACTTTAAAATGCAAAGATTTCTGTGCCTTCCTCAAATGAATACGACTCAGCAAATCCGTTTATCTTACTAACCGACGGACGTGAAAACATTTTTTAAAGGCCCGATATACGGTCTTGGCCGCATTTTATTTTTTTGTTTTGTTTGTTTTTTTTTTTTGAGTTGGAGTCTCACTCTGTCACCCAGACTGGAGTGCAGTGGCCG